AGATAGATAGATAGATAGATAGATAGATAGATAGATAGATAGATAGATAGATAGAAAGACACCCATCGTCGAGGAGAAATGGGGTTGTCTTAGACAGGTGGACATCTTAAACAGTGTCATTATGATGTAAAAATATGCAGCGGAGAAATTGGAAAACGGCTGTATGTACAGCGTGGTTGTCTAAAACGGGTGGTCGTTAAAGCAGGATTGACTCTATTGTTATATCTATATCCATACATTCTGTACCGTTTGTGACGTCAAATTTTCAGAAACGGAAGATGTTCGAGCAGCTGCTGAAGGAGGTACCACTTCTGAACTCTCTGGACGAATATGAAAGAATGAACTTAGCTGATGCCCTGCAGACGAAAGAGTTTGCACCTGGACAGAATGTCATTACTCAAGGTCAAGTCACCTTCTCCCATTTCATTAGCCGCTTTAGAACACCCCAACAAATATATTCTCACACACAGACACACACGTACACTTGCACACGCACACGTATACGCAGACACCCACCCACCTACCCACCAACATATACACTCATTCACAACATACGCACACACATAATTATACTCACACGTACTCGCAGGGGTACCCTTAGAATGGGTGCCTGCACGCACAAGCACACTCACACACGTACACGCGGACTCCGTACACATACACGCACGTGAACAAACATAGACGCTCTCACACTTACACCCTTCCACACGCACACACGGGCACACTCACAAATGGACCCTCACACATGCACACACCACACATAGGCACACTCACGCATACTCACATACACTCTCACATACTTTTGCGGACACATAAACACATGCATACACACAAACACACATACACCCTCCCGCATACATGCGCGAGCACATTCACACATATACACGTGCACATACAAACAGAGGCACACCCATAAACATGCACCCTTACGTACATACACGCACAGACAAACGCTCACGTATTATAAGAACTTACACTCACTCACATAAACATACACACAAACAATATGCAGGGCACACCGTTAGCTCATTTCCTATTATGCCAGACTAAAGAGCGGATAGCGCTGGTTCGAATCTCTAATGAGGTGTTTTGAACTGGAGTTGTTTTAGGGAAGTTTTTAAGACACTCCGCTCATTTGGCTCGTTCTTATCGGAGGTGGACATTAAATTCGGACGTCCCGCCTCTTGAATAACCCCACAGTGTTGAGAGAGGCGTTAAACCTCTTTAAAATGTCAATGGCATGATATACACATACACAATGTCATACAGACACTAGCGCAAAAATACTCGAAACATACACACAGCATAAAACAAACAAACAAACAAACAAACAAACAAACAAACATACAAGATACGTTTCTCTCTCTCTCTCTCTCTCTCTCTCTCTCTCTCTCTCTCTCTCTCTCTCACACACACACACACACACAATGCACACACATACACACAATGCACACACACACAC